AGGTCGTGAGAAGAAATATCGTAGGCGCCGAAAACATTAGCCTATCCAACGCTGCTAGGCTAGGCCTCTATTTACCTCTATTTAGGTTCTGTTATCACACATAAAAACAGCCGATATTTTCCGTTGCTAGTATTGACACTTGACACTCGTATTTCATACGAATTATTTAAAATTTGTTTAAAAAAATGATTCTGACCAAGATTTTGACAATTAAATAAACATATCTCAGGCCACTCGATCGGTCGCATTGTGCGAGATGCGAAGTACAAAAACCAATTTCATTAGAGAGGGCGCACTTTATTGACTGTATAACGTATACATAAAATAGAGAGCATTCCAGCGGATGCGACCTACAACCTCTAAATTTGCCTAGTAGCGACCTAACACCTCTAAATTTGCCTAGTAACGATACGTCGAGAAAATAGTAATCTCCTATGAGAAATAGTCTGTATTTCTCATTTCTTTTAATTATTTTGCGTAAAACTAAAATGTATGCCAATATTTTTCCATTATTTATAATAAATAGAGTAATGCACATGCATTTTTACTTTTAAAAAATTCTTTTTTTAGTGAAATTTTGCCGGAAATGGGGCTTTTAAAAATTCAAATCAAAAAGGCTTAGTCTGGCAAAGCAATTTTTGTGGTCATGGCCCTGTTATAAATGAAGTAGGATGGACTAGGCCCAGCCCAATGTAATGTTATAATTACACTAAATCGTGAAATGTGGAACAGCCCTCATGAAACTAGTGCAAGGCAAAGTTTTAGGACTTTGTATTTAGTTTACATATCTTAAAATGTATTATTTGGAATTTGTCTTGTCATAGCGCAAAAAAAAAATCACTGACAATGAGACTCGAAAATTAGTTTGTGTGTGGTACACCGTCTGTTCTGTCCATTGAAGAACTATTCGTCATAGATTGAGTTTCACTTCACAATCTCGATCGCGTTTACGACGCAAAATTCTAACGCATGCGTAGAAACTATATAATTGTGGGCACCGCGACTCTGGGTTGGCACGGCGTTTGTACAAAAGGGCCAAATGCAGCGAGCGTACCCCCAAACAACGTTGAAGTAAAGGGATTATTCGGCTAGTTCATTTCGTTAACTACGATTTTTTGAGTATTATTTTCCTTCAACTGGTTCGTAAAATAGACTTCGTTGACAACGAAAATTAGTTATCCACGCAACCAAAACAAACATGGCCGATTGGTCAGTTCAGCAACATTTGCATTAAAATGTCCTTCCTCGGAAAATTTAGTTTCTGTTGTTGATGCCCGGAAATACGCTCTCCTGCATCTTTACAACAATCAAATATAGGCATATTTGAATAATTTAATCTTATTTAATTAATTTTTTATTCTTTAGACATTTTTAAATTTACATATTTCGTAGTGTAATTTTTACGTGTGTTAATTATAATTATGAAATTCTGTATAATATATATATATAATATATATAATATATATATATATATATATATA